TGTTTACATATAAACCTATTTTCTAATGCATTGTAAATAATTAAATTTATCTAAAATGTTTCCCTTAAGATATATTTACAAATGTGAAGTCCTCGAGACATCCATTTATTCTAATTTTATTTAAATTTTTTTCAACAGAAAAAAAGAGAGTAAAGAACAAATTCTTTAAATATAAATTTCACTACTTTTTTATGATGATTTTTCCACACTTATGGTCATAAAAAAGGTGAATGTAGTTTTTAAAAAATATTTTCTATATTACTTATAAGAGCTGTTTTTAGAAGTAAGAGGGAATAAAGTTTAAAAATTTAATAAAGAATTACAAAAATGATTAGTTTTTCCTTTTTGTAAATTGTGAATATATTAAATTATTGTATCAAATGAAAACATATCCGTTGATAATGATGACATTGAATGCAATCTACGTCGCACACAGTTGCATGCATGGATTTGCATATAGAAGTTTCCCTTTCACTTTAATGAGCCATGTCTATAGAAAAATAAATTATCTCCCAAAATAAATAAAAGAAATTTTGGTTGGAAAAAGAAAAAGAAGAAGAAGAAGTGTAGTGTCATATCAAACCTGTGAGTGTGACAAAACCTTCCCTTTCTATTTCTATCTTTAAATCCTTCAATCATATTAGCGGTGCTGAAAATTACGTTTCATTCATTATGCAGATACTTGTCCCTAAATATATTTAATAAAATCATCTTCATTATTCTTCCTAACATTCAAGATCTTAATAATTAATGTACAAAATTGTGGATAATAGTTTTTATTATATGAATTAGGTTAAAATTTGACACATTCATAACTTAAACGTTTACAATAGAAAGTACGTTTGAGAAAATAAGAACTTTGATATGATATATTTTGTAAGGTGATTGATTTTAAGGGCTTGTATCCCTAATTGTCTTGGGGTCATGACCTTTAGTTTTTCTCCAATTAGAGTTGTGTTGTGGGTCTCTTGAGGCACAACGTTAGTGTTATATAAATTTGTATGACAGTGTGGATGGATTGACATAATTGCAAGGAAAATGATATTGATGGTGATGAGTCATTGAATGGTGGCATTGTTTATGTTGAATGCGAAAGAGTGGTTATCTTTGTTCTTCACATGTCCACCTTCTTGTTTTCAAAACAATTTATAAATAAATTTATCAATATATAATTCGTATATTCAAATAAATTAAATTTCAATCTTAAGTGAAGAATAACATGTAACAACACAACTAAACAAAAGTGATGTATTTGAATTTACAATACTAATAATGTTAAATGATTAAATGAATTTTACGGGAAATTGGAATATTAAAAATTTGGTTAATTTTTTTTTTAATTTTTGTTTTTGTTATGTTTCCTATGATTTTGAATGGGTTAATTTGTGAGTTTTTTTTTTCAAAAATAAATAAATAGTTTCTAACTTTTTGTTAACAAATATGTACGTTAGGATAGCCTTTGTTTGATTAAAATTAAACTATTGGTGTATATGTTGGGCATTTAATATATACATTATATTTGATGTATTATTTATACATGTTAGTAATCTTTTTTAGTTTTTGGAATACATTTATTTATAGTATTCTATGTTTATAATTAACCCAATTAAGACTATTATTTAACTCAGGATGAATTTGTTTCTGCTAAAAAAATTTATTTAGATTATGAAAAGATTTATTTTAGTCCTTTCAAGAAGTAGAAAATGGGAATGATTAATGCAATATTACTTTGATCTCGAATCTAATTTTATATTTAAATTTAAATCCTAAAAAATTAATCTTTTTAATATATTTCTCTTACCTATTTTTTCAATTTTTTTTCTTAATCTCTTAAAAAAACCTGTTCGATACATTATATTTTTTTCTGGCCTTTTGTTGTATCACATTTTTCTTAATTTTTTTAATAAGTTATTTTTTCCAATTTCATCAACCTGTTTCACCAACACAAAATTATTTATTACTTTTATCCTTTTTAAATATCATGTGCCAACCTTAATAACACATAGTATTATTTTATTTCTTATTATTTTTATTATTTTTTAGATTTTATTAGTGTTGTTATGTATCAAATTTTATCTTAAATAATTATATTTTAAAGGATAGTTGATAATTAAAATTTTTATTATTTTGCATTAATTAAATAAAAAATAACTTATTAAATATTTTATTATATTTTATATATTTAATATTTATTAATATTTTAAAATAATAATGTTAAAAAATAAGTAACTTATCATGAAAGATTTTAATATAGTGTTATAATAATAATAATAATAATAATAATAATAATAATAAGTATTATATATTCAATTAATAATAATAATTTAAAAGTTACAGAATTTCAAATATTTATTTATACATAAAAATAATACATATAAAAGAATAACGGTAATATTAATTTAGTATAAATATAATTATTTCTTTTAAAAATAATGTAGAAGAAGGACATATTAGGAAAACCCAAATTGTGGGATGTAAATTTAATTTGTAATGAATACCAAAAATGATGATTCAGAAAGTTAAAGATTAGATCCAAAGCAAAACCCGAGCTTACCTCCCCCATTTGTCATGCCTGTTGAAAAAAGAAAAATTAAAAGTTGAATTGTAAATAATTAATACCTAATTCAGGTTAGTTTAATTGAGATTTTCTTCCACTTGGATTATTCTTCTTCGTCACTAAGTTATCAAAGTCAACGTAGGCATAACATAAGACATGAATCGCTTATTATATGGACAAAAGAAAACCAAAAGAAAAGGCTAAAAGGAGGTAATTAATTATATATGCTATATAATTGGCATAAACTCAAAAAAGAAAATATTGAAATTTACTTTTCTCCTTACATATATCAGATTCAACTTGGACGCCAAAACTTGAAGGGACTCTCAAATTGTTTTAGATTAAAAAAATAATATTTTAGATAATAGTACGAATCATTGCAAGTACAATAAATATTTTCACATGTATTTGTATGAAAATTTTAAAAATGAAAATAAAAATGATTAAACGTAATTAAAAGTATCTAAAGTGTCTGTGAAGTATTGAACAACACATGTGATTCCTTGGTCACACAGCTTTTGTTTTGTCTTATTATCCAAGGCGGGCTTTTGTTCTGTAGCTTTTTACGCTCATCACATGTGGCATGGGAGAAGGACAAAGTTTTTTTTTTTTTTCTTTGAAAATGTTGATATATTTTGGTTTGATTTTGCATTGGAAGGGAGTTCTTGACTTCTTGCACTTTCCCTCCTACCTTAATCCATGGGATCTGAATGCAAAGCTATAAAAAGTGCAATCATTTAGTGAAAATATTTGATTAGTGGGTCATTTGCTTCAAAGTGCATGCAACAGTTGAGTTGTTCTTGGAGCATCAATCTTCAGAAGTGGAGTTCCCAAAGCCCAAACCCTTGTTTCCATGGTCCATGGATACAAGAATTATGAACTGTCACATACTCCACATATGCACGAATCTCAAAAAACAAACATGGTACCTCTTCTACCATGTTCTCATTCCATCCAACCATGGTGTATCAAATTCAACATTGGTATCAGAACAACTGTTTTGAAGTTTTTCTTTTTCTAATTCTTTTATCTCGATTTAGGGGTTATTATGATACAACAAATATTGGGGTTAGAGGATAACAGATCTCAGTGTTCCATTTAAAATAATATTAAATCCATGATAATGGGTGATTGGTAAGGTGTGGAAGGCAGAAACAAAAGAGAGTAGAGAAGAGTGTGAAAAAGCTGATATTTTTGTCAAACTTTTGGGGATAAAGTTAATCTGCCAGAGTACAGAAGGTTGAATTTGATATGATTAATTTGAAGTTAGGTTTGAAGAATGGAATGATTATTATGAAGCGTTGGAAAGAGGGCCTTGGAAGATCCTTGGCCATTATTTAATGAACATAATGAGATTATGTTGGACCATCATGGTAATGGGAGGATCTACGAACAAAAATTACAGATGGTAATATTCCAGACGGAATGGTGGAGATAGCAATGTCTCTGTTACTATGGATTAGGTTCAGACGGTGGAAGGAGTCCAACTCATATTGTTCTTTCAAAAATCTACCACCACATATTTTTAATGCACTTTTTTATTAGTAAAATATTATTAAAAATCACTAAATATGACTTTACTTTTTATGTATTATTTATTAATTTTAATTATTTCTTTGTTGATTTTGGTTTCTTCTTTGGAGGTATCACAAAGGCTAACAATACAAGCTTAAGCTGCCATACCTACGTATGAACTCCACAACTCCTTTTATATTGAGGTCCAAATTTGGGTTCAACCGTGTTGAAGAAAGCAAGTATTTAGAGGGGACTAATGTTAAAAATTGGCCTAAAGAAAGCAAGTATTCAGTGTTTTAACTTTCATTTTTTGTTTCTCTTATTCTGTAACTGTTACTTCAATGCAATCAAAGCAAATATGCTTGTTAATTTTCTATTTCTGCATTCGAAATTTTAGAAGTTTCTTGGAAGCCTGTCTCTTCAAAACCACATTGCGAAAGCCAAAGAAAACAAAAAACACAGCCTGATAACTCACAAACCAAACATAGTTAAGGTCATCTACAAACTCACGGCAAAAAGAAGAAAAGAATTTAGTTCACCGAGTGTGACACACAGATCACAAAATACACATCAGCATTGGTTAAATATAATGCACACAAACAACCATATATACAATAGATAAAGGAAAGGGGATTCTGAAACTTAGTAGTACTAATTAGTAAATCTTTTGCCGGCATTTCACCGCATTACTGTTTGTGTAACTCCAACCAGCAGCAGGGTTGGTTAAAATCTGCCAAGTAAAAATAGCAACTTAGTAAGCAGTTTAGATTATCATGCAAATTGTAAGGTGGCTCCAATAACATTGTGTTCCTACTTGCATGTTGATATTTTGCGTATAAACGACTAACATCATACAGCATTAAATAAAGTTTGTGATTCATGGCATTATTCTATTAGCACGAGAATACCAACCTGTCTATGACAGCAATCATTCACAAGCAATCTTGGTGTCAAAGCTGCTAAGGCATATTGCAAATGCTTCAAAGGCCGAGATTGGATACTGATAATCCATGGTGAATACATCCTTTCCAACTTTTCCGAACTGTAGAATAACATTTTCCTGAGCCTGCTCAGAAACTCCATTTTTTGGAGAAGCAACCAGCTGGAAATTTTTAACTGAAGCAACTGTCACTCGCCCGTTGAAGTTCAGACACCAGCATTGAAGTTGTTCATGCCACCTTGGGGACTTGTTTTGCAGTACCAGCATCCCCTCATTTTGACAAGTCAAAGGTAAAGATGGGAGATTGTCCATGCGGGTTGATTTTGATCTGAAGAAAGGGATGGATGGAGAAGTATCAATTCTGCTATGAAGAAATTGAGTCTGTGTTGGGGCCACACCTCCAGGTTCAACAGCTGAGGCAGGGATGGCATCCATAACACAGTGCATTATTCTAGGGCCTCTGTTAACATTTTGACAACTAATCAATAGAGCCACCTCTTGAAAGGAAAGCTGAGAACAATCAATAACATAGGGAAAGTTACCAAACATATTCATTTACTGATTGACAACCCAAATAATCCTCTTTACCCAAAACAGACACTTTTTAGTAACAACACCAATACCTAGAGCCCAAAACATTCAGATCATACGAGACATGAGCAATGGGATAATTGCCAGCAGGAATCCTAGGAGAAACTTGCTTGAGACTAACTAGCCTGGTGGAACGAGACTTTGTAACTTTGGCTCCATAAATTGGAGGGTGAGCATCATACACAGTGAATTTGGTGCCCAAAAAGTTCGATCTATTATCAATGAGAAAAAGCGTCAATTAAGGCCTACAAGATAGTGCATGTTTGCTTTAAAATTACAGAAATACTTTGGTGACTTCCAATGTAAAATTGCACGTTCTAATGCATGAAGTGAGAAAGAAAGGTTTGTTGCTTTGAGAGTAAAAGTATTTTTCAACTCTCCCAACTTTAATCCAAACATGCACATAGTGATTAACAAGTCATGTCAAATATCAGCTAAAATACCTCAACTTCCCAATATAAGTATTACTCCCTCTTGATACATCATCACAGTTAAGGGAAATGATGTAGTCAGTGTGAGTTGCTCGTCGACACTTGCGTGCAGAAAGAAGGAACTTGCCATCCTCAGTTGAGGCTGAATGATAATAAAATCAGCATCACAAAACTGTCAATGTCGAAGGTTATAGAAGGAAAGAAATGGCCAGCTCTTCACTAAATATTATACTGGTAGGTCAGTACAAGCTAAAGAAAGGACGGTTGTTCATCCAACCCACGCGTCACACTGTTTAGAAAGCATTATACACATTAAAATTTAGAAGTGTGGTAATTCTCACCTTGGTTTAAACCAAGAAACAGATAATATGTTTTATTACTGTGATTTCTTTTAATATAGCACTGAACAAGAGAGTCCCTAGGACCAGGCTGCAAGATGACAATAAGAAGCAGATTAATGCTTGGCAATAACTAGAACGTTAAACAATATTAATTCTTTCATAATGTTTCAAGATATGATTGTTTGCGGTTCCTGTGTAATCGGAAAGAAACTTGAATTACTAGCACTCTTAAACTCAAATGTTATACTGAAGTTTCTTTTCCTAGTCAAATAAAGGTTGAGGAAGATATAATAGGGTCTGATTGGACAAGCTTCTTTATGAAAAACTTTAAGAAAGAAAAAAAAAATAAAAATGAACTTCTCCAAAGATTAAAATTAGTTTATGCATAAACTAATTTATAGAAGGTCTCTCATATACCTTCTCTAAAAGTTTACTTTTTAAGTTATGCATAAGCAGATTTTAGCTTGTGGAGAAACTCTTCTCATTTTTTCTGTCATAGAAGTTCTTGTGGAGATTTTTGTCCAAACATGCCCATAGCAGAATATTCACTTAAACGATAACATGAATAGTTGCACAAGAAGCAGGCAATGTGGGGTTTACAAATAAGGAAGCTAACTGAAAAAAAAAAAAGGCTTTCATATTTCATAATTTCTAACTGACAATTGAACAATTCCAATTACAAAAGCATTCAATTAATCAAATTTCAACAATATTTCTTGCTCTCCCACTCCCTTTTGGTGTAAGGAGTGGGTTGGGAATTCCTCTCACCATCCACATAAATCAATCGTTTTTATCCAATAAATACAAGTTTTATTGATTGTACTTTCTTCTATGCAAGAGCAGCATTAAACAGGAAATAATTTTCGTAAAACAAATGTAACTCATCAATCTTCCTTGAACGAATTAATTCATCTAGATCACTTTAATCGCTGCAAAATATAAGCATATTATCATCAAGAAAATCAAACTACTTAAGCTTAAAATGATTTCAAGTAAAAAAAGGTTCTCTAAGCCCAACTCAAAGGCATAACAAAACAAACACAAGCAAATGGGCAGCTGATTACTGGAATCAAATTGACTAATTTAAAGCCACAAACAAAATACAACACACAAACCAAAAGTTGAAAATTTAAAGCACATACATCCAAAGGAACCTTGTAAGAATCTAAGCACAGACTAGTTGATCTAAATAAGCAAACAATGGTGGTGACAAGTGAGACCTGCTTCAAGGAGATTGGGAATGTCAACTTGCCGGATACTTGAGGGGATTTGACAATTTCCTTCATGATTTCTCTCCAACTGCGGCAAACTCCGGCGCAGGCAACGACGTGTTCCCGGGCAGGCCAGGAATCCTCAGAGGCCTCAATCCTCATAAGAACATCCCTCAAAAGCTCAGGGGGCATGTTAGCCCAACAACTCTGCTTCAACCCATCAAGCCCCAACAAACTATCCTGGGCAATGACCTCACTGTGTGACTGTGACCTGGATCTCATACTATACCCAAACTTGAACTCAAATCCCTTCCTCTCCATGATCATACTCCTAAACGACATCGTCAACCCCCTTTCTCAAAACCTCTTGCAGCTCATTCCCACTTCACCAACTCCTCTAGACCCCTCACAAGATTAACAAAACACCCCAAAACATGGAAAAGTGAGCAAATTTTACGAAAAAACTTTTCTTTTGTCGAAGAAACGAAGCACTAGGGGTACCCAGAGTGACATATACACATTTTAGCTTCAATTACGCTGAATATTCAATAAAATTCAAGGAAACGGAAAACCAACACGCATAAACGAACAGTTAACCAGACAAACCCGGAATTTGGACAAAATGAGCGTGAATCCCCTCCCCCTCAGAAGCATGTAAGGTGGAAGGGGAACCCTTGCGATGAGAGTGTTGAAAAATGGAAAGGAACAAAGTAAAGTAAGAAGCGGAAAAAGGTAGTGAGGAATGTGGGTACGAGGGCCTAAGATTGCTTGGGACCAAATGGCCTTTATCCAATACCAACCATTATATGGATTGGGTTTGGTACCAACCTTCAACCCGGCTTTTCTTTCTCATCTCGTGATCTATGTTGTTAGTTGTTTTAGTTTAATTTTTATTCACCCTCGTTGTGAAAAGTCTACAAAGTATAATATAATGTTGTTGCAAATCATAAGATTAAATTCAAGTATAGATTTCATAAACCAAGTGTTATGCTTTCACAGTTGTTGAGGTAATTAATGGTAAGTATCTTCGATAATCCTCTAAGCAGCAAATTCTCTTGCTAACATGTCAATATATTCAGACGAGGATTTATGGTCATTTAGCTAGTCATATATTTAAAACATATGTTATCTCAGGGTAACCAAACCTTCTGTGAATGAGTAAATGTTCTTTCATCCCTGTAAATACCTTATAACTTCTTTAAGAGTTTATCAGTAACTCATTGTGTTGTGAAATATGATTTGTATGGAGAATTGCATGAAGAATAAAATTATCTCACGCACGGTCTCTTGCAATGAGTCAAAATGACTTTGTTATACAAACTAGGTTGTGGAGGCACAACTGTTTTTTCATCAAAAGGTAGGAATTTAGTTCCATGTAAATTAGAAACCAATTGCAAAACTAATCATCATTTAAATTTCATCAATCCATCATTAATTTTTTTAAAAGAAGACATAAACATAGACAAAAACAGCTGAAAAGGTGAACCAATTTTATTAATTATTGTACAAAACATACATGGTTGAATCATATGGGTCACTCAGTTTATTGTTTTAATTTTTTTAAGATTTATTTTTTGTATATAAAATAAGCACCACAAGTATTTATTATGAATTTTAATATTAATATAAATCGATATCATGAAAATAGGATAAGCAATGGAAAAACTCATAGTCTTCAACTTTGAATTTTGACGACAATGATATTATAAAATACAATTTTTTTATGTTATATGTCCTTTCATAAAATGTAAAAGAATCAATGCATAAAATCTGCAATTCATGTCTCCACACGGCATGCAAGAGACAAAGATGAAAAAAATGATCAAACTAGTTAAATTTATTTATAAGAAATCAAAAAACATAAAAAATAATAACTACTATAGAGACTAATTTTTGTTGCCCCACAATAATTTGGACTCAAACTGAAACAGCCACCCAGCGTAGTTTCTCCACAAACTGATCTGTCAGTAGGAAAGACGTTGATTTATTTGAATAAAACTTTGTATTGGAGCTTCGACCGTTGCACCAAAGCTTTTTGTCTTCACATCACGCTCCATGCATTTTCCATCCAAAGTGACAGAACCACACACGCCAGTTACTTTTTTTCAATATTTATTTGCCAAATCAGAATTATCTGTGATCATAAATTTAAACAATTACTGCATCATTTAAGTACTCATTGCTGCATTATTGAAGCACCAATTTTACTAATAATCTTCATGGTTTTGAATTTAAATCTCTCATAGATTATGGTAGCGGGATCATTGAGTGAACTATAGAAATTTGAATTTTGAGTTTGTATGTATTATTATTAGATAATAACTAAGCATGCCTTGTGTTTGCATTAGGCTCGAGGCACAGGGTTGATTGTGAAATGTAGAGTACACGTGTCGCAGCATAATAGGGAAGGCTCTCAGATAAGACGAACAAGGAATTTCAAAACAAAAGCAACAGTGTATAAAACGGAACTCAAATTCCTTCGCAGTGGTGGCGGCTACCATAGCATTAACTCGTGAGTTTTTCTCTCTCTTCTTCTTCTTCCTCTTCTATGGAAAGTCTCATTTTCTATTTTGTTTTCTCGTTTTGTTTGTTTTATATATTTTTTATATTTTGTTTGTATGTTTTTGTCTTTGGATTTTCGAATTTGAAAGTTTTCATCCGAAGTGGTATTGTTCTGGAAATTTATGGTTTTTTCTGTGTGGTGCCTTGGAAATGACGAAGTGGCAGTGTTAGTGTATCAGTCGGTGCATTTGCCCTTCAAGATGCGTTTGTTTTTTTCCATTTGTATGTTCTATGATTTTATCTCTTATGCTCTGTGATTCGATTAATTACCGTCATTATTTCTTATGTGGAAAATCTTTTTACACCGTAGTTTTTTTTTTTTTTCTATTGTTCTATTTCTGCAAGTTTTGTTTTGTCTTATTTCCTTTAATTTCTTACTAAGACATGCTAATTTCGTGACTGAGACGTGATAATTGTTTATGATAATTTTGCAATGTTTGTTTGGGGAATTCAAGGTTTTTTTTATTTATTTATTGTGTTTTACCATATAGGCTCTTGGTGTTGATGATATCATAGACAACGGAGAATGGCTGACATGATGACGAATCAACCGTCACAGTGGTGGTGGCTGGAGAGTAACAGCAACAAAAGACGATCCCCCTGGCTTCAATCCACTCTCACCGGTACCTATTTCCTTCCTCTAATATTACTGGCTAAAAGAATTTCTATATATTTTAGTTTCAGATTTGTTGGCTAAAAAAAATTGATAAACAACATGTTTTTACTTGATTGGTTGAATAGTAAGTTAAAAAGCAAAAGTGTTCACTGAAACCACGCTATTTGTGCTACTTTGACGGTTTTCTGCAATTAAATGGTTAATGAAAATTAGATGCACGAAAAGTCCATTCTCTTAGAAAGTTGGTCCTTTTTTCAAACACATTGAATTTGGGAAATGGGAAATGAAATGCCATAACTAGCCTCATAGGTGCGATGAATTGATTTTAGCGGTAATTTTTTCTCATGGCTTATCATCATGCAATCAGTGGTGTTTTTGATTGCATGAAGATTGATGGTGTGTAATGTGTTATCCACCAACCCTTATAATTAGGGCATAATATTTGAACGATTCAAGATTACCAATCATTCTCTGGTCCTTTGCTGATACTTTTGCGATTTGTTAAGTATTTAGACCAATAATTCAATCTTTGTGGCCATTCAAGTTGCGGTCCCACATGTGTCTCTCTACTTAGAAAGATTTACTTGAGAAAAACAGGCCCCTTTTGAAAAGAATATACGAGGGTTTAAAGAAAGAAAAGAGGAACAGAAATTCAAGTATAGAAAAATGAAAAGGTTATGAGCCTTTGTTTTTTTATGTTCATGAGTTTAACTTTTCAAAACCTTTTTCTCTCACTACCTTTTGACTTTGGCCCTATGCATTTGTTACTTCTAGCAACCAGCGCCTTAGTTGGATTATTATGGCATGCATATGGTGTTTGAGCCTTTTTGTTAATATGTAGTTTAATAATGGAACGTGATTTTACTGTGCTGTGTTTTTTTATGGCAGAGCTAAATGATAAGACAAAGGCCATGTTAAAGTTAATTGAAGAGGATGCAGATTCCTTCGCTCAACGTGCAGAGATGTATTACAAGAAGAGACCACAGCTTGTGAGCATGGTTGAAGATTTCTATAGGACACATCGATCATTAGCTGAGCGGTATGATCAAGTCACTGGAATTCGCCAGCAGAAGACTGGGGCATCCCCCTTTTCTCTACTCAAGCATCAACAACCAGAGAAGTTGATGAGTTTTGCGGATGACAGTTATGATAGCTATTCTGAGAGTTGTGATGTGGAGGAGTCTGGGGAATCTGAAATTGATGATCCTGAGCAAGAAGAGGAAGAAGATACCAAATTTGATAACAGTACAGAACTGGATAAAGTTCAGTTTGTGGCTGCAAATGATGTGTTGGAGCTGAGGAAAGAAGTTGAGAGACTTGGTGAAGAGAACAAGGATCAAAAGGATCAGAACAAGCAGAAATATAACATTTATGAAGTAGTGATGCTGAGGGAAGAAATAGAGCAACTCAGAAAAGAGAACAGAGTTCAGAAGGATGAACTCAACCAGAAAAGCATCATTTGCAGTGAAGTAATAATGTTGAGGGGAGAAATAAGACGACTTGAAAAGGAGAATAGAGCGCAGAAGGGTGAACTCAACCAGAAAAATATCATTTATGGTGAAGGATTTAGGGAAGAAATAGAACAACTCAGTAAAGAGAACAGAGTTCTGAAGGATGAACTAAACCAGAAAAGTATCATTAGTGGTGAAGTAATGATGTTGAGGGAAGAAATAGAACGACACCGAAAAGAAAATGGAGTGCAAAAGGATGAACTAAACCAGAAAGATAACATTTGTGGTGAAGTAACGATGTTGAGGGAAGAAATAGAACAACTCAATAAAGAGAACAAAGTTTTGAAGGATGAACCAAACCAGAAAAGTATCATTTGTGGTGAAGTAACGATGTTGAGGGAAGAAATCGAACTATTCAGAAAAGAGAATGAAGTGCAGAAGGATGAACTAAACCAGAAAGAAAACATTTTCGGTGAAGTAATGGTGTTGAGGGAAGAAATAGAACAACTCAGTAAAGAGAACAGAGTTCTGAAGGATGAAATAATCCAGAAAAGTATCATTTGTGGTGAAGTAATGATATTGAGGGAAGAAATAGAACAATTGGTAAAAGAGAATGAACCACAAAAGGATGAACTCAACCCGAAATATATCATTTGTGGTGAAGTAACGAAGTTGAGGGAAGAAATAGAGCAACTCAAAAAAGAGAACAGAGCGCAGAAGGATGAACCCGATAAGAAAGGTATCAATTGTGAAGTAATGACGTTGAGGGAAGAAATTGAAGTACACAGAAAAGAGATAAGAGTGAAGAATGATGAACTCATCCGGAAAGGTAACATTTGTGGTGAAGTAATGATGTTAGGGGAAGAAATAGAACGACTCAGAAAAGATGACAGAGTACAAAAGGGTACCATTGGTGGTGAAGTAATGATGCTAAGGCAAGAGAACAGCGTACAGAAGGACCATCTCAAGCAAAAAGACCAAGAGAAAATAGAGGTTATAAGACAGCTGAGCTTAGCTATAGATATGCTGAAGCAGGAGAATGTAAAGATGAGAAGCTTCATAGCTAAGGAATGTACCAACAAATGGAATAACCCATTTGGGTTTAAGAATTTCATGGGATCATTATCAGGGAAGTTGTTTAATGGATTAGCAACGAATCAACCTAGTCTTGTGGCTCTCTAAATAAGTTTCACAAAGTAAATAGCTAAGTTTTGTAGATCAATCTTATAAGATGTCTCTATGTACATGGTATGGGGAACTTATTCTAGTATCTAACAAATCTTGCATACAGTTTAGTATATTCCCAACTAATCTGAGAATCTAGTGGAGTTTCCTATACACTTATATGCATATTCTGGTTGTATTACTTTTTTATTTGTGATCTATATTGTAGCCCAATGTGCCCAACTCTCCTTTTCATGCCAAAAATGTTTTCTCCTATATAATAATACTAAGTGCCCACGATGCAGAGTCACTAAAAGGTTCTTTATGCAACAACAAAGCGATTTGTGGTCCCAATTCCTAGGGGAAGAAATCTGTGATTCAATCAATTGTTGAGGCCAATGGAGAATGTCCCTCGTGCATGTCCTGAATTCTACATTCAGTATACAACTATAGTATATGCTCAAAAATGAAAATAAATGTATCAAATATTAAAATAAAGAGTAAAGATCAAACACATGTTTCCTGTTACATTACATCTCCTGAGTTAATTCTGAACTGATACAACGATGAAAACATTTTCCTCTCAACTGTCATTTCTACACTCAAACAACCCAGAATATCAGATAGAAACTGGAAAATGTTTATAACTTTTTGATTTTTGAAACATTGTAATACTGTAGCATTCGGCTTACTCGCAAGAGTGCCTTGCCGTGCACTTGATATACATGCTAAACAGTAAACGCTGACAAAGCATGCTTCGTGAACACAAGTAGAAACAACAACATCTATTCACATCACATGCCATAAAGCTGCATTATACAAATTACCAAAATTGGAAGATGTAAAACTGAATAAAGAGGCAGAGATACACCCTGGGAAGATGGGGCCAAAGCAGGCATAGACTCTGAAGGTGGAAAAGCCAAAACTGAGCCTGGATTATTGGTGACATCTGGATTGGGAGGGCTGGGGCTTGAAGGAATTGTGGGTATTGAGGACTCTGAAGGAGAGAAAGCAGCACCTCCAGGGGTTGGAAACAAAGGCTCAATATCTGGTGACATGGTAGGAGAGAAGTACAAAGGGGCACCTGGTAGTGTTGTTGGTGCTGCTGAGATGGTGGAAACATGCATGTTTTGTCGAGAAGCCAAGGCCAATGAACAATTGCATGCCATTAAGGCCATCAGCATTACCAAGAATGACCAAAAGGAAGCCATAAATGATGATGATGGCAAGATATCAATTGCTTTATGATGAACTCTTAATGAACGTGTCTCCAGAGAGAACTCTTCTTTAAGAGTGGTGAAACTGAGGAGGTTCATCATTGAAGTACTTAACTTTAAATGGGTCTACAAGAAGTGGTGGTGGGGCTCTTATTTTTAGTGGCAGTAGATCATTGGAACCTTTTTCATCTTACAGCTGCACATTGTATGCTACAAGACAAAGCTGATAAGTGAATTACCTTGTGGAGCACATGAACATTAGGTGTCACTTGCATAAAAATAAACACAAAAAATAAGAAGAAAAATAAAGGGCTTGTTACAACTTAGAAGTTAGCAACCCAATTACTAGGAATATGTGACATTTATTTTTCACAAATATTTTTTTAATCTAAATTTTCCTTCCTTTATGTATGTCCCCACTTATTTTCTAGAGACACATTAGGGGGTCACCTATGTGCTCCACCACTGAGTTCATGTGACACGTTCTAATCTGAAAATAAAAATAAAAAACTCAGAACGAGCTTAGGGGAAAAAAAATTAAGGACTACAGAAATTCTTAGGCATGAAGTAAAGTAAGTTTGGTTGATACTAACTACCCGTTAAATCTTCAAAATCAAATCATGCAAGCTGAGTGAAATGCAGATGAAGAGTGCTTTATTTATACATAATGAAATAATTAGAAATGTAGAATTCAACCCTGAACCTTTAATATAAAGTAACTGGTTCCTTCTAACACAGGATGGAATGGCTACTTTTCAATAAAATACAAAATAACAAAACGACTCTACTTTTAATGTACGTAAAATTTATCAATACAATCACTCAAGTATGTATTGTAATCTAATGAGGATAAACCATGTTTTATGTTAATTTGATAAAGAGCATGTAACAGAGACATTATTTATTCATTTTTTATAAAACATTTTTCAATTTTTATTGATGATTAATCATTATTTAAGAATTTGATCGATCACCTTAGTGTAATTTTACAAAATACTAAAACTCTAGTTAAAAGATCCAAGACTAGTTTTATTCGAACTAAAAGAGACTGTGTTTCACACTATTTACTCTACAATCTTATCATCTGAATTGATTTCACCCATCATCCAAAAGAAATGGCATTTGGGTCCTCAACATGTCAGTCATCAGCCAAACTGTACAGCCGAAAGGAGGGTGAAAAAACAATCAACGCAGTCCCACATAGGAAAACCGTGTCCATTATGCATATGAGTATGTACAATCATGATAAATAGGCCAATATAAATGGTGCTGTGGAAGTAGTATTCGAATGTGAAGTTAGTGTTTTTTCTTCTTCAATTTGTGCATTCTTTTTCCACTTAAATGGGTGGTTTCTTACTAGGATGGGTCACTTTGGTTTGGACAATTTTTCCTTGTGAAACTTAATTTGGCATTGAGGGACAACACATATGAAACAAATACTTGTTTATGATTGTCGGGTAGTACTGTTGGCATCACACTCACAATTTAATAATGAAGACCATGAGACATGATATGTGAATGGTGGGGACTACTACCAAATACGGACACCAAAATGTGATGACGGTGCCACTATTCACTCAATGTCGTACCTCAATTCACCAAATTTCTTTCTTATTTCATTTGTATCTAAATAATAAATATACTCTATTCACTAACAATAAGTTGAGATGGCCGAGTTGGTCTAAGGCGCCAGATTAAGGTTCTGGTCCGAAAGGGCGTGGGTTCAAATCCCACTCTCAACAAATTATTATTTTTGTTACTCATTTTTCTATGATTCAATATTTGTGATGGAGTGATTAATTTATTTGTACTTCACTATCCTTATTAATTTGTAATCAATTCATATTATTTTTGTTACTCATTTCTTTATGATTCAATGTTAGTGATGGAGTGATTAATCTATTTGCACTTCACTATCCTTATTAATTTGTAATCAATTCATATGAATCAATTGGCTCAAATTTAAAATTCCAAAATACATGTGGTTCATTGAAGACTTTATCTTAAAAAGAGATTCATTCGTACTGAGCGCTAGTAATTTCATAAATGTTACATCATAAGATTCTAACTTCAATTAGAACAAATTTAGAATCAATGTGAAATGTTACATTGATTGCATCAAAGACGTATACGAGTCACTCCTATGTGCACTATTTCCTTAAAAATATAGAATGTGTGCGAAAAATTTAGGCCTCAAACCTGAAGTGATCTTTCAGGTTCATCAAATCAAGAGAGTGACACAAGAATAAACTACATTAAGAAGAATCATGAACTCTCTTTCGTATAGCCCCACCCCGTTCTAAAATTTAGTAGGTCAGTGTAGCATAAAACCATTCATGTGTTCGCATCAAGGTTGCCTCATACTGTTGCAATTCCGCAGTACAAAATTGAGATTTCTTGCTTCAAATACCTCTGCCAGGTGAAATTTCAGCGATATCTTCAGCTGCAAGTTTCTTATGCCCAGAGTAGTCCATCAGAGCCAATTTCAAAATTTGAAACTGGGCTATCACCAAATTCCTGGTCTGCTCGTTGATCACCTTCTAGTGTATCCACATAAGGTTTCAAAAGATCAGAAGATCTTCCCGATGGGATTCCATAATCACTCAGTATGGAGGATGAAGCACCGACAACAGCTTCTCTCTCTAAAACAGCTACATAGCTATCTTCAAATTCAAAACGCAGATACCTGTCCTCGCTTGCTGAGCAAGAGAAAAGTAATGGAATAACCCTGAGACATTTTGTAAAAGAAGATGAATGCGCAATAATAGATAAAGATTGTAACAACTTACAATCAACGAGGTGTGCAAGGTGATGAATGTTTTTAACTCGAGTTCCGTTGAATTTTACAACCTGAAAAAAAAAATCATTTTAGACAAACATGCATTAAGTATTGGGCATGTGGCAGTCAATCTCACATGTGGAAATGACTTGCCTGCTGATTGCCCATATCTTCATAACCTATGTTGACTTCATTTGCCAAGACCTGTCAATCAGTAAGATGCAAAGCAAACTTATACCACAAAAGCAACTAAATATCCGATTAGAAAATGGTAAATGTTATGACATTGTTGAATAAATTATAAAATAGATCAAGGCAAGTAAAAAAGTAAATGCCACATATGTGATGCAAGAATTTCATGAATACAATCAAGCTATACATATATGCATAGTGTTTTGGAAGAAATCCAGCCCAACCTGTGAAAGAATTACAATTTGCTCCCCCTTAAACCTTGCTAATGAATAACGTGCCCGAGCCAATAATTTTAGCTGACAAAGAAAATAAAATAGAAGTCAGTCATAAACTAATTGGATTTCAACATTTTGCTTTAAGATTAATCCATACAAGTTCAGAACTTACCCCTATCGAGTCTTCACATTCTTCCCTGCCAAAGGATTCATAACGAATCAATTAAATACTAACTCAGAACACCGAACTAAAAACGGAAAGAACAAAACACTGTAAAATCTGTAAATATAATAAATACAACATACTCAATCAATGGCTCCGAGAGGGGTGTGAACACTAAACCAGCAATTATCAGATAGGAAGGCAGACCTTCATCCATGTGATAGGGAACCTTGAAGAGGGGGAAAACAATGTTGTAAAACAAAAAGCATTAGATCAATAATATCATGAAATCGATTGATACCAAAATTCAATGATATATTACATACCAAATGAACTCGTGAGTTTAAAACAATTTTAGTTTTTATAAAGGTCCCTGCTCTAATGATACCAAGCTCCGCAGTATCACCTGAAAATCTGTATAACACCAATACTCTAGGATTTAATTTTAAGAACATGAACAACCAAGAAAAGCAAATGCCAAAGGCTTTGAAACTTGTTTCATCATATAGTCAAATGAAACCTTTCAGAAGTTTCCCTATAAACCACCTATTGAGAATATCCAATGTAGCATGCATTAAATGATATTCGCAAAAAAATTGTGATGTATTATATCCTCAATAACCACAAAATTTAATGTAGCAAAGCATTTATATTACAAACACAGAAAAGCTAGGGAATGGTTAGCAAAGTATATACGGGTTAAGTTTGAGAAAATATTTTACTTATTAAATTTTAATTACAAAATATCACCTTGTTTTCACTTTATTTTCTGTTTCCAAGAGTTTGTAAAGAAAACAATGAAAGCTTTGAATTCTCTTTTGTTTCTACTATTTCCCATACAAACTTTTGAAATAGGAAATAAAGTGAAAATAAGGTGACAATTTTGTAATTAAAATTGAGATAAGAAATTTCTAAGGTATTGACATTGCTGGTAGAAGTACGTGTGGTTCTTGTATCACATCCAAAAATGTATTTGATGCTCGTAGTTATTAGAATATAGGAAGTTGCATCACTTACTATAATCCCCTATGGGATAATCTTCTCTATTCAATATACGGATGATAGGTAAAAACTATGAACTACATTCTACAAGAATAAGAAAATCTTTTCATTTACTAATTTTTCTCTCTCTCCATCACTTAATCTCCCCCTCGACATTCAGCAATTGTCAAGTTGCCAGCTCACAAATACAGTATTCGTATAAATTTTATTCCCAAACTATAGTATGATAATAGAGATTATGAGAAGAAAGCCCCTACTTTTGACTAATGAGGAAGTGGAAGGCTATTCGCTCATTTGTTCTGAATGGGACTGTTCCTTCACTACCAACACGAACATCATCAAAACTGACAATCACATCACCCTGTAATGGCAAGTTTGATCAGAAAGGTTGATGCCTTGATCAATGGGATTTAGTCAAACAGAATTCACGTTTAACATCCAACGTGCATCTTCTACATTTTACTTTAAAATGTTAATGACAAAAAATAACCATATAAGAGGACATAAATGATATTTAAACAAAGATAACAAAGAAGACATGCACACATCAATTGACAGTTTAGACAACTCATGGGTAATAAATGTCAATTTTGAACACAATCAATTATCGTAAGATGGATCAGTTTGTTAAAACTTAAAATAAGTGTTTTTGAAATAAGTGTTAAGATTCCAACATAAAACCAATTGACAATATGTGGAGTAGCCTAACATGTATTTAAACCATACCAATTGACAATAACTGGAAAGATATTAGGCTTTGACTCTGATACCATGTTAAGGTTCCAACATAAAACCAATTGGCCTAACATGTATTTAAACCATACCAAATTATATGAGGTAGGCGATGTGGGACTTTCAACAATAAGCAATTTTTAAAATAATCACTTATTTAAGAAGCAAATAACATTTGCTTATTAAATAAACAGAAAACTGCTTATTTTTAAAATAAGCAGATTAGACAAACACAGAAAAGCAAAAATCTGCTTATTTTATTAAATAAAAACATTTTTGAAAAAAAGAAATAAGCACAAACAAACTTACTCAATATCCAGACCCCAAAGCTGGGTTATCCATTATTCCAATAAACAAATAGCATTTCTTAAATTTGCCTGCCTCTTAAGGTGTCCATTTATGTCAAATTCAAGGTTTTAGATGGTTATCCATTCATGCCATTCAAGGACAAAATCCTGCAAATTAAAATATCCGCATTACCTCCTTTAGTACATTAATTGCATCAGAAGTAGGTTCAACTCTACGTACCAATACACCCTGCAAATGACAATGTGAAATATCAAAATTTAGTGCTATGAAATTATTGTTGAAACTATAGGGTTTAAGTGAGGGTGAAGGAAAAAGTAGAAAAGGAACACGCAGAACAAATTTTGTTGATAGCGGAATTCTATATTTTAGTGACATAATAAGTCATAGAATATTCAAAATAATAAAATATTATTGACATGGTGTGAAATGATATAACACAAAATACTAATTCAGTGATCCATTTACATTGATACTTAGGTCAAGCAAGTAGCAGAACCCCAAACACAGAAATACAATCAGAATACTAACAAATTATAACGAAATCTGGAAAATACTCCAAACAGATTATCTAAGATACTCTAGATTGTTCTTAAATGATACTATGAGCTATTTTATACAACTCTAACAAATATAAACATGATACATTAAAATCATACATATCATAAGGACAAAAATATTTTGTTAACCAAACTTAATCACATTGAAAGCCTTATAGAACAAAATTTATTGCAGGATGCATTTTTTATGACAAAATAACAATAGTTGTACTGCATCACCAGAAACATTGGATAATAACAAGGTACTACCAAGTGATATTGGATAATATTAAAAATCTATGGCCAATACCAGAATATCACAAATATGTTCATCAAGCAATTAACAGTGCAAGGGTTCATCTAAATACTCTCATTTTCTCCCCATCCTCCTTCCTTAACTAACTGCTTTGATTTCATGTTCTCAATGAATGATCCATCTCATACAAGCAAACTCACACATCTACAATCTCACTGTAATCGTTAAGAGTTATGAGCATAATTCTAATTAAATAATTCATATTGCCGTATGCATATACTAATTAAAAAGTTGGAATAATAGCAAATGTTAAATGAATATAAAAGGGTTCTAGAGGACCACATGTGGCTAATGAATATACTGCCATCTGCTAACACCAGCACTAAAAAAAAAGAGCTCCATGCATAGTAGTATAACTAAACTTGTTGCATAAGAAAGTACCACTGAAGATTTTAGTCAAAGACATACCTCATTGGACTGTACTTTCAACCATGCACGTAATGCAGGGTTCTCTAGCTTCTGTATAAGTACTCCAAGGCAAGGGAAACCTAGGAGTAAAAGTACAGACAGTTTCAGAGTATCAGTATAGTTTCCATGTTAAGCTTGATCAGGAGCATCATTCATGATAGACAGAACATGATATGCATTGTGAAATACAATAATACACTTTTTTTTCTTTTTCTAGAATCTGGACACATTGGAATTATAAAGTTCTAGGCTTTGTAGGACATAAGAAGAATACAAACATGGAGTGCAAATTACACTCATAGATGATGTAACTGCAAACACGTATTACTATTGACATTATTTTGTGCGAAGAAGCAAAAAAATTTATATGTGCACACAAAACAGAACAGGTGTTGAGGCATTTTATGTGGTCAAATTGGCATGAAAAAATGGTTCTAAAATCATCTTATAACAGTGTGTCTTTGTATGTGTGTGTGTGTGTGTGTGTGTGTGTATATATATATATATATATACTCTGCAGAGTGTAATTCTTAGTAGCTTATAAATTTTAGTCGTAAGACATTTTCTGAGAGATGCTCAAACAAAATGATATTCACATCACACAACACTGAATATCCCCCAACCAGATGACATAATGTCTGTAGCAAACATAGTGATAGAGATACACTTCGGAAAGTTTATATGAGAATACATAAGAAGAAAACAAGGCTCAGTAGGAGTGAATTATAGTGTTTGTGTGGTAATTGTTTCCTTCAGAAATTATCAAGGCAGCCATGAATCTAATTTATTATTTGTGCTATTTCTGTCTTCATGCAGTTATTGAGGACGCTATAGAATGGTGGTGACTATTTTACTAATTGCTGCATGTACCCCTAGGTTGTCTATCCTTACCCGAAAAAATCAGATTGTTTTCAGTAATAAATACACAGTTCAGTGTGCTTACTCAAATAACACATATTGCCATGACAAATCTATCAAATATAACCATATTCTATAAGAGTTTCTTACCAGTATACCTGCCATTCTTTTCATAGTCGGTCAAAAAATGAGATACAACAGTTGTAGGAATCACATATCCTATATTCTCAGCCTCTTCAGATCTGAAGACCTAGAGGTAATGTCCCATAAGAACATATTCCAGAATAAAAGAGACAATACAATGAAATTTTTTCAGTTAGCATAAGATACATATATTGTGATACATCAAGAACCAACTCTACCAGAAGCTTAAGTTATGAAGGCTTGTTAGTGGTTTTATATTTATGCTCCCTCAAGCTAGAGACTTTGGGCTTCAAGTGTGGACAATGTATAAGCCTCACACAACTTATACTAAAATTCAATTTCTAATCCAGACAAATGAGGGATAGCAACACTTGGCCATATAAAACCATGCCAGGAACCAACTTCCCCAAAAGGATAAGTTGTTTCAGGAGAAGACTCGTGAATAACTAATATAACATCTAATGTAATATTATTTCTTTATATAACTGAAGTGAGTAGTCATTCCCTCTAACAGGGTTATTTTAATGTCCAAGATCACAAGGGTGTGTAATAATTATCTTACAAAGAAGCCCTTTCATGGCAAAGTGTACAAGACAAGTAATGATACATCAAATACTTGCATGCCAAACAATCTACCTGAAATGCTACTCCAATGCACTCCCCTTGGTCATTGAATGCTGGGCCTCCACTATTACCTAAAATTTAACAATTTCAAGCAATGTCTATCAAGAAAATATTTCAATGATGGGTGGCAGTTATACTATAAAATAGGAAAAAGATGAGTGGAGAAAGTTTTTGCTAGAGAGGACCCAAAACTAAAATTTAATGCTGACCTGGATTTATTGCTGCATCAATCTGAATGCCCAGCAAATCAGACGATCCATGAGCATATGATGTGACCTAGTTGAAATTTATTTTCCAACAACTGAGCACCAAGACCATAAACCAAAAAAAGAGATTGATTTGACACAGATGAAATGGTAAGTTTCATATTCAATTCAATATATCAAACCTCTATACGAGATACAACTCCCTTTGTCACTGAAATTGTGTCTCCTCCTAGAGGATATCCCACAACAGTTACAGAATCCTTCAAATCAGAAACAGCATATATAAATTTCTGTCTGAACCATTTGACCAGAAATATTTAAGAAAGTTTATTCAAACTATGGCTATTAAAATTTATTTATTTATTGCATTTTTCACACACACACACACACACACACACACATATATATATATATATTAAACCCCACATCATTTGTGTAGTTGGTGTAGATCACTAGGAAAATAAATCAAGTATTATTTTGCAAATAGAATCAGTGGGGAGGGTGGACAAAAGGAGGAAATGTGAAAATTTACCACTCCCTGCACCAGTTAATCTTGCTGGACAGGTGTCTAATAGTTTGCTATGATAACAAATATTGACCTCATGATATCAAGCAGAATAGTTCCTAACTTTTGATAACAAGGAAGAAAATAGAACTATCATCATGTACCTGACACTGCATGAGAAAATATCATTTCAACCTAGTTCTCTAAAGTCATCATCTTACACTCTGAGAGACTGTTCATATATAATTCATTAAAATGTCATTTAAATCTTTTCTTTAGAGAAGATAACAACCAAGAAATACCCGAACAATGACAATTTTATACCTGAAGATGTGGCAAACGTCCAAATCTGAGAGGTTCCACATCTCTCCAAAACTCATCACTTTCTACTGAAAGCAAAGCTATATCACAATCAACACCTCTGGCCAAAACCTGTACATTCCGTCAATTATTAAAGTAAATATATACACAAGTGCTAATGCTAAATATTGATGTCTCAAAGTCTTTCCTTGTCAGTTGAATATTATTCTTACACATACATCCACTTTCATCATACATTAATAACAATCAATACTTTATGCTTATCAGGAACTACATTTTTTGAATCATTAAAAGCATTTTGTCATATTGTGCTTAAACTATTCAATATAATTGTTGCAAATTGCCTGAATTTCAATAGTTGAACCCATGAACTTTTAAGAAATTACACCACCATTCCATCTTGCAATTGAGTGGGACATACTTTCTAAAGTTTTACCAATAACAATAAACTTTTACCCATGTAAAGGTGACGTTTACTCTACAATCTACAATTGAATTTTTTAGCAAGGTATAACTTAGAAAATAAACTCTAGGAATAAAAACTTTTTCCTGCGCTTACAATTAGTTTACAAACTAATTTGCTAATACTTTCTGTAGTCATTGTTCTATGGTCTTAGCAGGCTATCAAGGGTAAATGAGATAATATTACAGAGCCAGATAATTCAAGAAAATTATTCTAGACACCTAAACTTTGAACAAATAATAGAAAACGGAGAAAAAACTAAGGCAAATCCTTCACACCAAACACACCTTAGCAACATATTTTGAATCATCCCCTCTTTTCTTTACTTTGACCTGCAATCATCCCAAAGAAAAAATGATAATAATTAAATCTTCTTAACTTGCTTTATGCATCAGACCATACAAATAATTAGATAAAGTAGAATATTAATTTAAAGTTTTAGTTTTATTGGGCATGTTATTAGTAGCTCAGATATACAATTTTGTATTATGATAGCATTTATTACAATTAAGTTATTGAGCCAATAGGTGTTGCCAATTTATCTAACAAAGACAAGTTTTATCAATTACGTTTTCTATTATTTTTATTTTCTTCAATCGAAGTATCAGAAAATTAAATAATTGAAAGTGAGCATTAGCATAACAGGAAGGTAATTGCTTGGTAACATGGAGTCACTATGTCAAATCTTGGAAATATCCTCTCAGCATGCCAGGGTAAGGGTAACCTCCCCAGCATGCCACTAGCTGGAAACCTTGCATTGGGTTTCCCTTTTTATAACTGGAAACTTTTCCTAGCTATCTACTTCTGATTGGCTATTTTATATGGTTCATTTAGCAACCAATTATAAGAACTCATTACAAACCCATTAATAAATTTATATTACAAATTACAAAATCAACATTATACTGAAGATGGGATAATTAAGAAAATTACCTGGGTATCATGTTCCACACAATGTGCATTCGTTAATAGTTTCCTATCTCCAATCATAAATGCACTGCAAAAGATGCGGCCTGTAAGATTAAGAAATAAGGATTCTTACAATTCTACAGTCAAGATATCAAAATCTTGCCTTCCAGTACTTGTGTATTGTCTCTGCTTTTGCCAAGGAAGAGAATAATCTGGGGCAGTATGGGTGCAGTAAACCTAAAGATGTTATAGGAACAACATATATTATCAAAGAAAATCCATACACGAGCAAGCATATATAAAGTATAGCAGAACAATATTATAAGAAATTAACAAGGATGATTGCTTGTTGCTAAAAAGAGTAGATACTGTTTTAAGGTCCTTTGAAGGGTAAAACCATGGGCATTATAGAAAAGAGATTATGTTGACATTAGGTGTCAGTGTCGGATCATATTATGATTAAATGAATAATAATTCAGAAACTTGACATCATTAGATAACTTAAAGACATCCGAGAAAGTTCCACACCAATATGGGGAACTACCCAGAACACATATAGGGGCATGAAGTAAATAACATTTTTAGAGTTTTGGAACTTTTAAATTTAGGGTTCACCACCTCCAAATCTAAAGGTTTGAGATAAAATAATTTAACCAGGAATATAAAAGGGTAAAACTTCACCTTCACAACAGCATTGAGGAAAGTTGAGTCTTGTAAATCACTTGGTTCAACCTGAAATTATATAATTAGCTGAAGTTAGGCTAACCATGCAAAGAGAAACAATCAGTTTGGCTAAGTATCTTTAATATCACCAGAAAAAATAATTGCCACTTTCAAAGAAAACATATGTCCTTTTTCTAATATCCTTTTTAAATGCATCTCCTGACAGTATATCCATCGCCTCATTTCCCCATCAGTTGTATAGGGTGGCATTCTGTGCTTACAAAGAGAAATCACTCTTTAATGGCCTAAACCCCAAACTCAATCTTAAAGAGAAGGAAAATTCAGGAGAGATTCTTGATATGGAAATCACCATTCCAGCAAACTTTTTACCAAATTGATAAACCAACGCATATTTTAACCAAAACGGCCATATAGGTTTTGTTACAAATATATCAATGACTAACACTTGGGAAAGTTTCCCATTCCAAGGTCAGGAAGCACGCCACCAGCAATAGGAATCAAATCCAAAACCTGTTTGTCAATGGTGTTAAGACCTACCAGTGTATCCAACTCTCACTCTCTGGCACACTCATATTTTCAATTCAACAACCAGATATGCTGCAACAGAACTGCAAAAAACATTTCTTTATATTTCCATTTCCACTTTCCACAACACAAAATCGTGATTAAATTTCCACGCAACCACAACCCAAACTTAACTTGGTCAAGACAAGTTACACTAGGGTACTTTGTAAGGGGAGGGAGGAATGAGTCTTCCATCCAAAGTCCAAAGACATCCTTCCTAAAAAGGAAAACCGCACTTCTTAAGTGTCACTGCAACTGCATAGCCGCCGCAATAGCACCTCACAATATTAAGACAGACACAACTCATCTATTTCAGCACTTTGAAGGTTGTGACAAACACAAACCATGTCAATTTAATGCCAAAAGGTAAAAGGGTCGGAATGTCCGTGTACCTGCTGGTCCTTGGCATCAAACATAAGGTCCTTATTTTTTCTAATAATGCCAAAAGCTTTAGAAGAAGTTGGTTGGGGTTCCACCACATTCCCTCTTGAAGGCCTTTCATCTTTAGATTTCTGCTTGTTGTGGCCTGCGCCTTCCTTTTGTCTATTGGGTTTGGAAGAAGAGGAGGATAGTCGGCCGTGGGAGTGATTGCAACGGATAGAGGCGATGATGGGTCCTTGTCTGAATGAGGAACGGAATTTAACTGTGGAGAAGACCACAGAGGATAAGGAAATGCAACTTGATAGTGCAACAGCCATTTTGACAACACAGTGAATGAAAGGGAGAGAAAGATTGGAAATTGAGTTTGTTCGAGTTCAGTGTTGGCGCAGCAGCATTTCTACTTGCTCGCGTTTTCCTTCTTTTTTTCTTATCCTCTCTCAGTTTCCTACTCCCCCAATCCTATCCTGCGTCCAAATCGTTTTAATTTTATGTTTAACCGCTTTTTTGTGTTTCACTGTTTTAATGTATAGTATTAGTGTCTTCGTACAAATATGAGTAAATGTTCCTTCAAATACCACATTAGAGGTGTGAATTGCTCAATTTGTTCCTCTCAACTCAAATAAAATAGAAAACTTAAAATGTGTAATTTAGACTATTATTTAACCATTAGATTCTATATTCAGTTTTTTCCAACATATTTATCTTAAATCGTATTAATAATTTTATAGAAGTAATTTTGCAACAACTGATGAATCTTAAACTTAATGAGTCTTTCTTCTTATTTTATAATTTTTGATAAATTTTAATCCAACAGTAAAATATGTTAGAAAGTGAAACAAAAAAAAGTATAAAAAAGAAGATGAAAGGGGCATTCCGAGAATTGAACTCGGGACCTCTCGCACCCTAAGCGAGAATCATACCACTAGACCAAATGCCCACTTAATGTTTAAAAGTAGCTATAAAATTATTAATTAATTTTAATTAATGACAAAAGATGATTCTTTTCAAGACCTTTATTTGTTTACTACTTTAAAAATTAATATATTATCTTTTAGAATTTATTAACTGAAATACATTTGTATCCTGTAATAATTTGTCAATGATACTGTACACTAACAACATAGGCAACCAAGAAAACAGACCATTTTCTTGTTTCCTTCCTTACTGCTCTTTGCTTTAAAATTATATCTTGAAATAATGAAGTGAAACTTTTACTTAAGTTTTCATATCGTAAATATTATTTACTTCAATCTCTCCCTTCTTACAATATTATAAAATTTTAATCACCTTAGTCATTTAAACTGACGTGAAAATTTTACTCCTCGTACTTGGAAAATTCGAATTTTGTAATCACCTCAGTATCTGTCTTTTGGCTGAGAACGGTGTTGAATCCACGAAAGAAAATGGTTTTCGTGATTATGCAACCTATATTGGGATTATCTGACATCGAATTTAGATGAAACAGAACATCATATATATATATATATATATATACACATGCTTGTCAGAAGTAAATATGACGGACATCAGTTCCGCATGGGATATGTATTGATCGAAAGCTAGGCAAATGAAAAGCTAGAGCCAAACATGCAAACGAAATTTGGTAACCAAAGCTATTAAAATGGCTGCAAGGTGAAATATCTTGATTACAACTGAATTAAATTTTAATGTTAATTATAGAAATGCATCTACATATTTGACTAGTGTTTGACTTGCCAAATAATTAATTGTCAAGACAGAAATAATTATTACCGAAATATTTTTCGAATGATGAACGTTTGAAAGATATCACATGCTTCAAAGTGGCTGAAGGAACTCAAACTGATGTTCAGAGTATTTTTCTATCTTTGCGGGCTATTTGAAAAAAGTGCAAAAAGGTATTAAAAAGATTAGCAAGGGGAAATGAAGTTTCCTAATAATTTTATCACATGAATGAAAAAATAAGGAATATATTATAACAGTAGAAAAACGAATAATTTGAGATCATGAATTTGTAAATGCATCAATACATTTCTAGCAATAACATTAAGTGATGCAACACGGAAGACACCTAAGAAGCAAACAGCCCAACTTTAAAAGCCCATACTTATTTAATCTAGTATTATATGTGCTTAACATGGACATAAATAAATTACCGTTAGTTAAACGTTTTTTATATATGATATATAGTTTTAATAGAATAATTATTTTAAATGGTTAAATTGAACTTATAGCTTTAGAAAGTAAGGGTTTTCACTAAGTTGGAATTAGACCGTATATGCATTGTTATTTTAACGAGACCGTAACTTGAAAGCAAAAATGAGAGATGTAATACCAGAAGAATAGAAAGATTCTTGCTATTTGGAAAAAGTTTCTATTTGTAATAAAAATTAAAGTAATAGTATAATTTCTTTAGAATATAGTAAAGAAAGTAATAAAAATGAAAAAGTGTAAACTGAAATTCTTAAAAATGAAAAAAGAAAATAAAAGTAAGTGGACCTAACCCGTTGAATTCTATCTATATCTACTATTCTGATATTCAAATTTGATAAAGATGAAATTCGAATAATCTTTTTTTTTCTAAAAAATAAATTTCTCTTCTTTCTATAAGATTAGATAGAATCTTATAGAAATGGTTTCTAAATTAAAATGTTTGTACTCAATATTACAAATTGATTATGAGATGACTAAAATGAAAACAAGTCATAAGTTATTCGTGATCACAAAGTAAACTACCAAGAATGTTTTACCACTGCTATATGTTTATTGTCGTAAATATTAGGCTTTTTTAGCGGAAAAACAAGAAGCCAAAAAGGTATAAGTAGCATTAATTATAATGTTAAGATGGATGTGTGACCACACAAGAAATGACAGGATATGAAAAAATTGCATATATAATGAGATGTTAGTGTGACACCGGTTGAAAAAAAGGTGACAAAAAATCGGTAGAGTTTGAACATCACAAATAAAACACGACTGAGGAAAATAGATTGCAAGGTTTTTTCAATTTCTCAAAAGGGAGAAGAGGAGACCAAGAACATTGAAAAATGTTGTTAAGAAGGATGTCGTGGTGAGTAATATCTATGAAGATTTGGTCTTTAATAGAGGGAAATGGCTTATCTGATCTACGTAACCAACCTCCTCACATTGTGTAACAAGACTTCTGTTGTTGATTCAACAAGGTATGCTTTTAGGAAATTCAGAGCCAATAATACATAACATGAAATCGTAAATTTTTCTCGAAACCTACATTGCAACTACATTTATCATTAATAAAACTCAGTTTAAAAATAAACTAATTGCAGAGTTGAAGCTATCATCAACAAATCACGTTGGAAAAGTTAAAGCAATTGGAACTAAAATAAATCTTCCATAAAAAAAAGTAACTTTTAAAATTTTCCTGCATTCAAGCTGATGGACATGCTATATACCAATGATTACTCTACATGCACAAATGGCAAGTCCTCATTTGGTTTAAACTGGTAGGGAGAGCACAAAAGCTGTAGTCCTAAGACTCCAAATGATTATGCAGAGAGAACTGCATAACACAAATAAAATAGGAAAGAATGTTAATTAGTAGAAATTCAATGGATGCTTGATCCCAGCAACTACAATGCTTCTCCCCGAGGTACAGTTGAATAAGTATTGTATTAGCATAAAATTCAATAATCAATATAAAATAACATACCAGTTCAACCAGGTCAGTGATTGCCCTCAGGTGCTTGAGCACTGGCATTGTAATTATCATAACCTCCAGATGATGGTGCAGGTGGATTGGCTTGATACATTGCTGACGATACCATAGAGGGAGCACCATTGGAAGCAGGGGCAGCAGCGCTACCTGGAACAGCTGGAGGGGGAGCTAATGAAGGAGGCCTTGGTAGGGTATTTAGTTGACCTGGTACCTGGGGAGCACCAGGTGGGGGTAACATTGGAGGCATGGTAGGTACAGAACCATATGCTGTATATTCCAATTAAAAAATGCTTACATCAGATATCATGTAACAAAAGAACCGGTTTATAATGCTAGCACTTGGCTATCAACTTTTTACAGAATTTTCAGCACTAGATGGAAGTTACAGCTTAAACATAAACTTGAAACTATAGATAAAAACAGAGATAAGTTTTCTTGTCCCAAACTTATTTTATTTAACAAATTAATATTATTTCTAATACAAAAAAGCCAGAGAAAGAAGCACCATATATTTAAAAGGATTCCAATAACAGAAACCCAAATTAATTTGTGGTTAGCCCTTGGCAAATGCATAACAAGAGCCATTGTTAAGAGAATAATAGAAAGAACCACATGATAGTAGAATACAAAGACATAAATATAACAGCTCAAGTCAGATTGAATGTTTCAATAAAAGTAGATGGAAGTTTTATGAACTTAACAAAGGCAATGAGCAAGATTAAATTCACCTGGTGCCCCAGGAAGAGGTCTAGGAAAGACAGGTGGTCTCATCCCTGGCATTAGTGGTTGGCTTCCAGGTACTTGTGCATTTCCAGGAATGGGCAGTCTTGGTGGTGGCAGCACAGGAGGAAGATTTGGCCTCTGAACCATCATATGATTATAAGCCACACCTACCTGCTGAAATGCTGCAGCTTGCCCAAGATGTTCTTTGATCCTCTGATCAATTAAACTTTGTGTTTGTTGTTCTTCAAATTGCTGGTAGTAGGTCCTCACATTTGCCTGAAGGCATGATCAAATATTAAATGCCATTAATATGGTGTACATACTAGTGCATTTATTTCAAAAAGTCAGAAATTTCATGGTACCTTGTGCTTGTAACCTGCATTGTGCTGCTTTCTAACAGATGGCTGCAATAGGACACAAACAACATTAGCAACATATTGATACCCAGTGTGACTAACAAAACTTCATGAGCACTAACGGTTAAAGTACACTTTTAGTTCCTTTACAGTAATTAATGTGCAATCTGGTCCCCCAATAACTACATCAAAGTTAACCCCCAATTTTTTTTTATTGCCACAATAAAATACTTTCATCAGTTTTCCTTTACCTAAAGCTTTGAAATTATCATTCTCCAAAGAAAATCTCCAAAATTCAACCGATTAAATCATTTTAAACCCTCTTACACTCAAAACTCATCATTCAAATCGTTTCTCATCCCAAATTACGCTCGAACAACAAATTACTCGAAATGAGGATTCGTGGGGGTTACATGTACGAATCCAGAGCCATAAGAAACACAACACATTCAGTTTGCACTTGCACCTTATTATTGGCGGGTGGAGAATCTTTCTACCTGGCTATGATTATGATTGAAACAACAATCTATTTTCAAATACATTTTCCTTGTACAACCAAATGCAACAAATTCACTAGACTAAACTAACTCGAAGTTAAAGGGAAACGCAATCGGGGAAACAACTTACAGAGTCGTGGGTCAAATATGTGTCGCAGTAGTCACAGTAATACCTGTAATGCAAAATCGAACAAATAAAATTGAATGCCGTGGATTCGATGAAAACTGAAAAATGAAGGAATCTATAATTTTCTTGTACCGAGGCATGGCTGTTTCGATAACGACGACACCCGCCAAATGAAACCCTAGCAGTGGAGCAAATTATCAAAGCCGTGAAAGAAGAAAAAATGAAAACCCTAAAAAAAAAAGAGGAATGAATGACGTTAGTAACTTGAGCTTGATGTTGAGGAACGAAACGAAGGGGTGAAAAATGGAAGCAATCAGCGATTAAAGCAACGACTCTGTGCCCAGAGCTCGGAAGTTTCCGGATTCCATCACCCCAAGGTAAATTATTTATGCTCTGATTTGATTGTGAAATATTATTTTTATTTCTCTGAGTAAAAATAACTATTTATTTAATTTTGGTCAATTTATGCCGAAGGTAATATATCTATTTATATTCTTTTGGTCAATTTTAAATTTTTTATTCATTATTTAAATAAAAGTTTAGAAATAAACAATATATTTTCTTCACCTATTTTTCTGAAATGAAATATAACTCAATTGGTTGATATATTAGTTATTGTAGAATATTTTTAATGTATGTTCGATTCTTACATACATAAAATATAAAATTGAATAAAAACTTATATACATAAAATGTATAAAAACAATAATATGACGGCATAATTTAATTGATAATAAATAAATAATATTTTAGTTTATTTTTAAAATACTTGTTACCATCTGAAAACTCTCATATATTTTTAAGGAAAATAAATGAGAGCAAGCACAGTGGTTAATAAAAGTCGGTTGAAAAATATATATATATATATATATATATATATATATATATATATATATATTTTAATTAAAAAATATATTTATATAAATAATTTTAATCAACTTTTAAACAATTTATATGGCCGCTACTTTCTAGTATGAGGATTTTTTATTGAAGGATTGACCATAAGATTCTAAGGTTTAAAATTTTCAAGTTAGGTTTAAACTTTATAAGTTAAGTGGACTATCTGAGAGTTTTATGAGTAATTTAATATCATATTTAACATAAAATAAAAAAGTAGAAGATAATTCTAAATTTATAAAATAGTATATATTCTTAAAATTTAAGTTTTATTTATTTTAATTGTGAATATTATATATTCTTAAAATAATATATATTCTTAACGTTCCTCTCCCATCTCACTTTTCATTTTCCTTTCTATAAACTAAAAAAAAAAAACACGTTCTAACACAATTTTTGAATACATTGTCTTTCATTGATTGAAAATGTTAAAAAATATAAAATTTTATGAATTCTAATCTTATTTAATAATTTTGTAGTTTCAAATAAAATTTAACAAACAAAATATGTGGTCAAAATAATACATTTACTCACCAAAGACGATTAGTATAAACCTTCAATTAATCAAAGATGATAAGGATAGTTGGCTATTAAAGAAATAGAAATATTAAGACGAGAATCCAATCCTAAGTATTAAAAATATGATGAATTGATCTGGTTGATATTTTAATGGAAAAGGATATTTTTCAACTGAAAAATAAAACGTCCAAACGGCAACTCGCATGTAATAATCTATTTTATCTTATTTTAAGATAAATTTGTGAATAATCCCATCTAACTCATAAAAGCCAACTTAAAGGAGTTTAGTGAATTAACCTCACTGAACACATCTGCCTAATCCACCAAAATATATGTGTGTCATGTTTAAATAAATTTTTACTTTATAAATTAAAACGATATAATAAATATGTGCTATATTGAGTTAGAAGGTGTGATTTATAAGGGAATGCTTTTAAACAGAGTTAGACAAAACAGAGCCTTCCTTTCATAATCTTCTACTAATGGTATGATGATGATTATCATCAACTGAAGGCATTGACAAGATCATCTTCTGAAAAGGTTAGTAGAGATAATAGTGTTGGTAGTAGAGATATTTCTGCATTGACAAATATCAAACGAAGAATCACACACAACTTCGTAGCAAACATTAACTGGCTTGAGGAAGCCCTCGTGGATTCACACAGTGGACTAAATGATTTAATCAGTGATATATTAGTACATCATAATGATATAAACATGGAGATAGGTTTAGGTTGGAGAGTTTGTAACATCATCCCAACGCCATATTGTCCCATCCTCACAGCAACTCAATATAGTACTACAACAAACACAAGAAAGGACCAGAGTTAAAAACAAAAGACAATGTTCCCTCAAAATTATGAGCAGCAGCATCAATATATGAAGAAATACCTTCCATCAAAGGATGTAGCAGTCTGCCTGATTGGAGATTTTGATTGAGGATGTGACAACCTGAACCACGTGACTCAGCATAAGAATTTCATAAAATAAAAATACATTGAAATAATCTAGATAGATAACCAAACCTTGCAATAAGTACAGGAGGACTTGACTGCAATTCCCAAATAAAAATCTTCCCCTCTCTGTTGCCTGGCATAACCAGATAATGGAAAAAGTGAATATAATATAAAACTAAAATCTTGCCTGCAAAAGAACGAGTCCAAATTGTCAGAAATAAACAAGATGTGTAATACGTAGTTCCTGTCACTGTAGGACTGAAGCTGCACATACTAGAGAAAATAATCAATTTAAATAGAAAAATGCAATCAGATATGCTTACCTACAGCAGCTACGTTGAAATGGAAATCACAAGAAAACTTGATGAACCAGATATCACACTCGGGAACAGGGTATTTCTGAAGGATGTCAACTACACCCTAGACATCCACAAAAAATGAAAAAAGAAAAGAAAAAAGTGAAGCTGAGTAGAAGTTACACGTTTAAAAACAATTAAGAAAAAAATGATAATTACGACTAACCTCCCCAGGTGTTTGTTCCTTCACTTTAGGTTCCCACAAGACAATTTCATTGTCAACACTCTGGAAACGTAACATAATCAATTTCTTCAGGAATTAATAAGTAACTTCATGAAAAAAAAAAAATTTAACAAAAAAATACTATAATTATGACTCGTTGTCAAGTTACAAAATGGAAAACTTACCCAAACACCTCTAAACTTTTTTATCTCCCAATTATTAGGGGGCTGTTTACTTTTGTTTTCCCTTTGAACTAAGAAAAATAATACTAGTGATTCAGGAACTGTTCTTCAATCACCACAGACCTAACATTAAATTGCCACCAGGTAGTAGCCTGATAGAGCAATCACTCACCTTTGAGAGGATAAAATCACCAAGCCACCTATTACAGTCAACATAATTTGAATGAACTGACGCATTGTATACCTGAAATTAGGTACTGCTATTATTAGAAATAAGAAAAAATTAGAAAAGATGGATGATATGTACCAAACTGTTGCTTACAGGAAACTGGACATATTTTGTGGGAAACTTGGAAGGAAGATCTGTCCACGTGAATGATTTTTCTACATATGTCCAGAACTCTGCAGTAACACATGATAGATTAAAATGAAAAGGATAATAACACAATTGCTATACTAAAAAAATTTTACAAGAATAAATGGTGTATATTTTGGTTTATGCACAGGACACTGCTCCATGATGGTGGGATCCAACTATAAAATCGTCAACTAAACTACTTATTTTGATTGACTCAGTGCATAAACAGAATGGGGCATCATGTTGAACACAAGAAAGTTTCAACATATTACAAACATAATTGTTACTTGCATTGCAGCTTCCTTGTTATGATGAAACAAATATCAAAGATACCAAAAACAACTTATTAAATTTATGAGAAAGATTGATTACATGTAGGATATGATAGATGAATAAACAGAGGTTAAGGGTAAACAAGGAACCATTAATAGCCTCTCTAAAAACATTGACACAAATGGTATCATTTGACTTATGTAGCCGACCCCATTTAATGGGAAACAACCTTTTTTCTTAATCCTTTATTTTCATTATAACTGGTTAAACAAGCTATGACTGTTGTTTCAGACTTGCATTTTACCCACCTAGTACCAATATAGTTAGAAGTTAAAACTAATCAAGAGAATGGTTCTTAGTAGAAATTTTTATATAATGAAATAGTGTTAACATGGTAGAAAGAAACCAATGTTTGAAAATCTGACTGGTAATTGAATTGGTCAAGACACTAGCTCATGTTCATTGGTTCAATTGTGATCAAGCCAATGATAATTAAGTATATATTAAGTATTATACAAAATACTGAGTAAAACACCAATAAAATTTCTGTGAAAAACAGCATAAAAAATCATAAGAAATCAAGTTAGGCAAAATTATAAATTAGCATAAAAGACCATATTTTAGGTCCTGCAATATTAAAATAATAACAATCCACACATGGGCCTTATTTCTAGTTTCTTTGCCTCAAAAAAATGTTTTTGAGTAAAAAAATAGAAAGTAAAAAAAAACTTCAAGCTGGTTTTCTACGTGTGACTTTGAACCAGCTCAATTGGTACACGACAAGGTTTTGCTTGTATTGTTTTATGGGCTGAATAGATAAGTGACCTTACTATTGCAGTGATTCTCTGGTCAAAATAGCCACATCAGTTTCCTCTATCTCAAAGACAACTGTAAAAATTATTTATGAAAAAAGAACTCTGAGTGATTTAGTTTTTGTCATTTTTTGAGACTACGGTGCTATCTATTGCATTGTGGGAAATATAGTCAAACTTAACTACATGGTTCAAGACAAAACAAATGTTACCAATGATATAATAGCAGCAGTGCAGCAGACAGAAAATTAAATATCTTACCTTTCATAGACCATATTTTTACAGTATTATCCATGCCACAACTAGCAATACGATATATATCCGATGGATGAAAATCCTACAATAATAAAGAAAAAGTCAGTTGGGCTAATCTCCAAAGTTCAAATTTTATATTATCCACAAGAATAGGTAACTAAGCAAGAAAGAGATAGAAAAACATTCAATGAGGAATACACTTACTACACTTAAGACTTCATTACGATGTCCTCCAGCTCCAGCAAATATCAAAATGCATATTCCAGTTTGAACATTCCATAAGCGGACAGATTCATCCTGGTCAACCATAGATGTCAATGAATGAAAACATGGGATTCTTTGAATAGTGAAAATATGGAGAAGACGTTTACTTTGCTTGCAGATATCACAAGTGATGGCCTTAATGTTTGAGTCCTGATTTCATTTACAGAGTCTCCATGGCCAACAAAACTCTGCTATGAGGACAACATCATATTAGGCAGTAGCAGGGAATAGTACACAACCAATACAATTTCAACATTATTGAATAAAAGAATTGACTTGCATGTGTTCTTGGTTCCTGCAAAAAGGACTCTATTTGATTTTAGTTATTGCAGTTCTTTTGTTAATTTTAGATCCCTATCATTTTCTTAGCCTCTGTTAGGCATGGCAACGGGGCGAGTTTTGCCTCCCCGATCCCCGCCCCCAACTTTTTTAACCATCTCCGTCCCTGTTTCGATCTCTGCCGGGGTTAAAAATTAAGTCCCCATCTCCGTCCCCGCTGGGTTTCGGGTTCCCCGCCCCCGTCCCGTCTCCATCCCGTCCCCGATCTATATTATTTTTAAAAAATAATTACATTTATAATATTATGTATTTTTTATATATAAATAAATATTTATAATTTTATAATTTATAATTATTATTAATTAAATATACATTTTAATTTATTATATTTGTTAGATATTGTTTATATATTATTTGATATTGTTAAGATATTGTTAGATATTGGTAACCACAATATCAAACAATATCTTCTGTTTATTCTGTTACTTTCAGTTACTCTTTTAGTTGTATTTCTCTACTATAAATAGACCACCCTATGTGTGATTTATACACAAGGGAAATTAATTCCAAACTATATTTTCTTTATATTCAACATGGTATCTAGAGCTTAAGGTTATCTTGAATTTTTTTTCCGCCTTTTGTCCACTGTTGGAGCCGCCCCACCGCCGCTAGAGCCGCCCCACCGCTGCCGGTAAACCGATCCTCCACATCGAAAAGAATTATCTTTGTCATTGAATTTTATTTGGTAGTGTGAAAGTGCATGTTTAGGAAAGTTCTGCAAGGAAAGACTTGGTATTTAAGTGTGTCCATTAGTGACCCACCTCTCTTTCCTGGGAACTTACCTAGTGTACTAGTTCACGTTACCTGTCACCGCTGCGCTGGAGCGAGCCACCGGGTCCGCCGCTGTCGGAGAATTCGCCGGAGTTTCATTTTTTTACCAGGTGACATATGATTTTGCTTGTCTCGGTCAGAGGTTTGTTCTCCCGCTCTTCATGACTTCTTCCACTATTTCCAATTTTGTTAACGATTCTTTTGTGTTGACATCCCATCGTGATGACCGGGCTCGCCCTCGCAAACAGGAAAAATGGCGTCCTAAGTGTGAACATTGTGGCAAGCTAGGTCACAAGATTAACAAGTGTTATACATTACATGGTCGTTCTCCTCGATCTGCTGTAGTTGTTCGGACCAATCTTTCCCCACCTTTATCCGTAGGGATCTTCCTTCTTCTGTTGCATCCGACATGTCTGCTATGTTCAATAAATTTCTCGAATGGTATAAGGATCAACAGTCTTCTAGTTCCACTATATCTGTCACACATACAAATACATATTTTGCTGGTCTGACCCAATCATTTTCTCCTGGTCCTTGGGTTTTTGATTCAGGAGCCACTGATCATATTACTGGTAACAAATCTTTGTTCTCCTCTTTATCCTCTCCTAATCATTTACCTTCTGTTACACTGGCTGATGGCTCTAGAGTATCATCTCATGGTGTTGGAACGGTTAAACTCTTTCCTTCTTTAACCATTGATAATGTTCTTTATGTCCCTGGGTCTCCTTTTAACCTGTTGTCCATCAGTCGTCTAACTCGTTCTCTTGATTGTGTTGTTACTTTTACCAACAATTCTCGTGTGTTTACAGGACCGGAGTTCGAAACAGGTGATTGGCACAGGATGTGAGTCTCATGGTCTTTATTATCTCCGTCCCTCTACACATGTTAGTACAGTTATGGAGTCTCCCTCTCTTCTTCATGCTCAGTTAGGTCATCCAAGCCTTGCCAAGTTACAGAAACTTGTCCCTGCCTTGTCTAACTTATCTAGTTTGGCGTGTGAGTCATGTCAATTAGGCAAGCATAGTCGTACTTCCTTTCCTCGTAGTTTCACACGTGGTGCTTCGTCCCCTTTTGCCGTGGTTCACTCTGACATTTGGGGACCTAGCCGCGTTAAGTCTACTTTAGGTTTTCAATACTTTGTTACTTTCATTGATGATTATTCCGGATGCACTTGGTTATTTTTGATGAAAAATCGTTCGAATTATTTCATATCTTTCAAACTTTTTTTAATGAAATTCAAACTCGGTTCGGTGTTTCTATTAGAGTTTTGCGTAGTGATAATGGCCGTGAATATCTTTCTCATTCTTTTAAACAATTCATGGCTTCTCACGGTATTTTGCATCAAACTTCTTGTGCTTATACACCTCAACAAAATGGTGTAGCTGAACGTAAAAATAGACATCTTATTGAAACAACTCGCACACTTTTAATTCATGGAGATGTTCCTCAACATTTTTGGGGTGATGCTCTTCTTACTGCATGTTATCTCATTAATCGCATGCCTTCTTCGGTTTTAGATAATAAAATACCTCATTCCATTTTATTCCCTCATGAACCACTTCATCCTTTACCTCTGAAAGTTTTCGGGTCTACATGTTTTGTTCATAATTTCAATTCTGGTCTGGACAAGCTTTCTCCTAGATCACATAAATGTGTTTTCTTAGGGTTTACAAGATCACAAAAAGGATACAAATGTTTTTCTCCTTCTCTTAACCGTTATTTTGTGTCAAAAGATGTCACCTTTGATGAGTTGTCTCTTTATTTTAAAAGTCAAACTTCACCTCTCGTCTCCATCCAATCTTGTCAACACTCCTAATACATTTAATGTTCCTGTTGTTTGTGACCCTCTAATTGTGTCTTCTTCACCATTAGTTTCTCGCTCCGCAGTTAGCTTCTTCTCCACTGCCTCTTCGAATTTATAGTTCTCGAAACCAATCACAACCACCACCATGTGACTCTACTCAAGTGCCAACTACTCTGTCTCCTCCGGATCTGACACATGAGTCTGACCTTCCCATTGCCCTCCGAAAAGGTATTCGTTCTACACGTAATCCCTCTCCCCATTATATTGCTTTGAGTTATCATCGACTGTCATTACCTTTTTATACATGTCTTTCCTCTATTTCTTCTGTGACCATTCCAAAAACTGTCTGTGAAGCTTTAGCCCATCCTGGTTGGCGTCAGGCCATGTTAGATGAACTAAGTGCTCTTCATAATAGTGGAACTTGGGAATTGGTCCCGTTACCGTCTGGGAAATCTGTTGTTGGTTGCAGGTGGGTGTTTGCTATCAAAGTTGGACCTGATGGTACTATTGATCGCCTCAAAGCTCGTCTTGTGGCCAAAGGTTATACTCAAATTTTTGGGTTGGATTATGGAGATACCTTTTCCCCTGTGGCAAAGATGGCTTCTGTTCGTTTATTTATCGCCATGGCTGCTCTTCAACAATGGCCTCTTTATCAACTGGATGTTAAAAATGCTTTCCTCAATGGTGATTTGCAAGAAGAAATATATATGGAGCAACCTCCTGGGTTTGTTGCTCAGGGGGAGTCTTCTGGGATGGTATGTCGTCTTCGCAAATCCCTATATGGCCTAAAACAGTCTCCTAGGGCTTGGTTTGGAAAGTTTAGCAAGGTTGTTCAACAATTTGGTATGACTCGGTGTGAATCAGATCATTCTGTCTTTTATCGACACTCGAGTGCTGGATGTGTTTACTTGATAGTATATGTTGATGATATTGTTCTTACAGGTAGTGACAACCATGGCATCTCTCAGTTGAAACAACATCTTTGTCACCATTTTCAGACCAAAGATCTTGGCAAACTTAGATATTTCTTGGGTATTGAGGTAGCACAGTCCAATGATGGTATTGTTATATCTCAGAGGAAGTATGCCATAGATATTTTGGAAGAAACTGGGTTGATGAGTTCAAAGTCTGTTGATACACCCATGGATCCCAATACTAAACTTCTACCAAATCAGGGGGAGCCTATATCTGATCCTGAGCAGTATAGAAGATTGGTTGGAAAATTGAATTATCTTACAGTTACTCGTCCTGACATTTCCTTTGCAGTCAGTGTGGTAAGTCAATTTCTTAATTCACCATGTGAAGATCATTGGAATGCAGTCATTCGTATCTTGAAGTATATTAAAGGATCTCCTGGAAAAGGATTGTTATATGCTTCTAATAACCATACAAGAGTTGTTTGCTACTCAGATGCTGATTGGGCAGGATCTCCTTCGGATAGAAGATCTACATCTGGATATTGTGTCTCCATTGGTGGTAACTTGATTTCATGGAAAAGTAAGAAACAAAGTGTTGTGGCAAGATCCAGATGCGAAGCGGAATATAGAGCTATGGCCTCAGCTTCCTGTGAACTTGTTTGGCTCAAGCAATTGCTTAGAGAGTTACAATTTGGAGATGTCACTCAAATGACACTTGTGTGTGACAATCAGGCTGCTCTTCATATTAGTTCTAATCCTGTCTTTCATGAGAGGACCAAACACATTGAGATTGATCTGTCATTTTATTCGAGAAAAGATTATGTCTGGAGATATCAAGACCGAGTTTGTTAACTCAAGTGATCAGCTAGCGAGATATTTTTACTAAATCTTTACGGGTCCTAGAATTGATTATATTTGTAACAAGCTTAGCACATACGATTTGTATGCTCCAAGCTTGAGGGGGAGTGTTAGATATTGTTTATATATTATTTGATATTGTTAAGATATTGTTAGATATTGGTAACCACAATATCAAACAATATCTTCTGTTTATTCTCGTTACTTTCAGTTACTCTTTTAGTTGTATTTCTCTACTATAAATAGACCACCCTATGTGTGATTTATACACAAGGGAAATTAATTCCAAACTATATTTTCTTTATATTCAACAATATTTATATTAAATATGTATGTAAAAAAATATTTAATTATTTTTTATTTATATATATATATAGAGAGAGAATATTTATAACATTATTATTATTATTATTATACTATTCAAATATTTGAATACTTATAACATTATTATGATAATACCTGTATTCAAACATTTAATTATATATATAAGTTAATTCATTTT